AAAACACACTTTGTTTCGAAAAATTTTCGAAAATTTGCAATCGGAAATGCGAAAACTTGGAAATTTCGCTTTGTTTGCAAACATTAATCTGTTTGTTTTGGTTTTCAATGTTTATTTACATTTTTTTGATTGTTTATTTTGGTTTCCAGTATTTATTTACATTTTTTTGATGTAAACACACTTTGTTTTGAAAAATTTTCGAAAATTTGCAATCGGAAATGCGAAAACTTGGAAATTTCGCTTTGTTTGCGAACATTGGTTTGTTTATTTTGGTTTCCAATTATTTATTTACATTTTTTTGATTGTTTATTTTGGTTGCCAATGTTTATTTACATTTTTTTTGATGAAAACACACTGTGTTTTGAAAAATTTTCGAAAATTTGCAATCGGAAATGCGAAAACTTGGAAATTTCGCTTTGTTTGCGAACATTGGTTTGTTTATTTTGGTTTCCAATTATTTATTTACATTTTTTTGATTGTTTATTTTGGTTCCCAATGTTTAGTTACATTTTTTTGATGTAAACACACTTTGTTTTGAAAAATTTTCGAAAATTTGCAATCGAAATTTCGAAAACTTGAAAATTTCGCTTTGTTTGCATACATTGGTCTGTTTATTTTGTTTTCCAATGTTTATTTACATTTTTTTTATTGTTTATTTTGGTTCCCAATGTTTATTTATATTTTTTTGATGAAAACACACTTTGTGTTGAAAAATTTTCGAAAATTTGCAATCGGAAATGCGAAAACTTGGAAATTTCGCTTTGTTTGCAAACGTTGGTCTGTTTATTTTGGTTTTCAATCTTTATTTACATTTTTGTGATTGTTTATTTTGGTTCCCAATGTTTATTTAATTTTTTTGATGTAAACACACTTTGTTTTGAAAATTTTTTAGAAATTGGCAAGTGGTGTTACGGCCAATAGAATTTTTGTCAATCTCTATTTTAAATCATTGTATTGCTTCATTGATGAAGCATCACCACGTTTAATTCGGTGAATAATTCTCTAAATAATCTGGCAACACTGTCCATATTTTTTGATTTTCGCGGTATAAAATTTGCCTGAATCGATACGGCAGGATATGACACGGAAATGGTAACGGGACTAACTGATCCGGAAATGGTTGGACAAAAGCATACATTGTATGCTAGGAATATTCATTTACCTCGTCGGTGGTAACAGTGTGTTCCTTGTCTATAAATAAGTGAAATACAGCCATCTATCGGGTATGACAAAAGCGCAAGATTTAACATAGGTCCCATAGATGACAGAATATCTTTTATCCATAAATAAAGAACGCAATAGTATGCAACAAGGATACACATATGTCGTGTGACAGACAAGAAAAAGATTACTATGTGACAAGGACAACAATAGCGTTTAGTACTATTGTATTACCGCTGTGCGGTAGTAGTGTTTCAATGTTCATGAATCGATTAAATTTAAATTTAAAACTAAATAACAAGATTAATTTATGATTCCTTATTTAATGCATCTTTTTAATTAGATTCCAAGCTTTCTATTTTATATTTCATTTCATCAATAAAACGCATGTATAAAGATTTGCAAATTCTATTCAATAGATCGAAGCATCTGCTTAAATGTTTAATTTCTCGCAAAAACTACATTTAAAATACCATTGTAATTAATTTATGATGTATTGATTTTGTTATATAAATTTTATGTTGAAATTATCTTTGCATTGCAATTTATTCCTGTAGAAAACTACAGAAACTTTTGTTCAGAAATTTCGAAAGACGGAGCTTGAAAAATTCAGTGTCAAAAATGTTTTCGAAAATCTCGTATTGGAAGATTTTTATTTTACTAAAGTGATTTAAATGCACTTTCAGAGGAATGATTGCAAAAAATGATTACATCCGTGATGAGTTTTCAAACTTACATTTATTTAAACAAATCAACATTGACCTCATATTTACGGGTTGTATACTGCATTTGTTGCACAGGTAATGCATCACTCTATTACGCAAGATCTATGTGTCCTGCAACGCGTGGCATCATTTTGGGATTATTTGACAAGAAATCAAATACATCGGGGACGGGGGAGACTAAGTATCGACAGTACTCTAATTGGGACTAGAGAAATTTGACTAGAAAAAAAAAAAATGAGCGGTCGACCTTGTTCGTATAATATTAATGTAGTAATAATAATAATAATATATAGCAATAGTAATAAATAATATTCAATAATAATGATCGCAATGATAGAGCTAATAATGATCGCAATGATAGAGCTAATAATATTCACAATGATCATGGTAATCTCGGAGTCGTAATAAACATGATGATGATAATAATAATAATAATAATAAATACATCAGCAATAATAAGAAGCAAAACGTAACAATAATCGGGGACATAAGTAACAAATCGATCACATTCGAATACAGTACACACTACGAACCGTCATGTTTTTTTTCCTCTCTTTCCTAACATCAGTTCA